GTTTAAGGGGGTGTGGTCGGGAAGGGGCGTGGTCCCGTTTGGGGCAGAAAAAAGAAAAAAAATTGGGTGAAAATCGGGTGAAAAATGGGAAAATTGGGGATGAAAATCCGGGTTGTGGTGACCGGAAGGGGCGTGGTTTGTGGTTATGGGGGCGTGGTCTAAGTGGGTGTGGTCAGAAAGGGGCGTGGTCCCGCTTGAGACAGAAAAAAGCAAAAAAAATTTGGGCGAAAATCGGGTGAAAAAAGAGAAAATTGGGTGTTTTGATGGGGAAAAGGGGCGTGGTTTGGGATTTAGGGGCGTGGCCTAAGTGGGTGTGGTCGGGAAGAGGCGTGGCCCCACCTGGGAGGGAAAAATGGAAAAAAAAAAGGGCGAAAATCGGGTGAAAAATGAGAAAATTTGTGGTTTTCTATGGCAGGAATGGGTGTGGTTTGGGATTTAGGGGCGTGGTCTAAGTGGGTGTGGTCGGGAAGGGGCGTGGTCCCACCTAGGAGGGAAAAAAACAAAAAAATTTGGGTGAAAATCGGGTGAAAAATGAGAAAATTGGGTGGGAAATTGGGTGTTTTGATGGGAAAAAGGGGCGTGGTTTGGGTTATGGGGGAGTGGTTTAAGGGGGTGTGGTCGGGGAGGGGCGTGGTCCCGTTTGGGGCAGAAAAAAGAAAAAAAATTGGGTGAAAATCGGGTGAAAAATGGGAAAATGTGTGGTTTTCTATGGCAGGAATGGGTGTGGTTTGGGATTTAGGGGCGTGGTCTAAGTGGGTGTGGTCGGGAAGGGGCGTGGTCCCACCTGGGAGAGAAAAAAACCCAAAAAAAATTGGGTGAAAATCGGGTGAAAAAAGAGAAAATTGGGTGTTTTGATGGGGAAAAGGGGCGTGGTTTGGTTTCTTGGGGGCGTGGCTTAAGGGGGTGTGGTCAGGAAGGGGCGTGGCTTCATCTGGGACAGAAAAACCAAAAAAAATTGGGTGGAAAATGGGGTGTTTTGATGGGAAAAAGGGGCGTGGTTTGGGTTATGGGGGAGTGGTTTAAGGGGGTGTGGTCGGGAAGGGGCGTGGCCTCATCTGGGACAGGAAAAAAACCAAAAAAAAATTGGGTGGAAAATGGGAAAATTTGGGATGAAAATCTGGGTTTGGGATGGCAGGAAGGGGCGTGGTTTGGGTTTTGTGGGCGTGGCCTAAGTGGGTGTGGTCGGGATAATTTTGGGGGCCCCGCCCTCACCCCCAAATTTTCTTCCCTCCCCTCCCCCAGCTCGGAGTACCTGGCGATCACCTCAGAGAGCAAAGAGAACTGCNTTTTTTTTCCCCCCACGTCCCCCAGCCCGCCGGGACCTGGCCTCCATCGTCTCCGAGATCCTCATGTACGTTCTCATCGTGGTGCTCACGCTCTGGCTGGCGGCCGAGATGCTTTACTGCTACCGCAAGGTGGCGGCCGCCGCCCCGCCCCCCGACAGCGCGTGAGTGGGCGGGGCCGCGGTGGGTGTGGTCGGGGAAGGGGCGTGGTCCCACCTAGGAGGGAAAAAACAAAAAAAAAAGGGGGAAAATCGGGTGAAAAATGAGAAAATTGGGTGGGAAATCGGGTTTTTGGATAGCAGAAAGGGGCGTGGTTTGGGATTTAGGGACGTGGTTTAAGTGGGTGTGGTCGGGAAGGGGCGTGGTCCCATTTGGGGCAGAAAAAAGAAAAAAAATTGGGTGAAAATCGGGTGAAAAATGAGAAAATTGGGTGAAAATTAGGTTTTTGGATAGCAGAAAGGGGCGTGGTTTGTGGTTATGGGGGCGTGGTCTAAGTGGGTGTGGTCGGGGAAGGGGCGTGGTCCCACCTAGGAGGGAAAAAACAAAAAAAATTGGGTGAAAATCGGGTGAAAAATGAGAAAATTGGGGGTTTTGATGGCAAGAAGGGGCGTGGTTTGGGTTCTGGGGGCGTGGCCTAAGTGGGTGTGGTCGGGAAGGGGCGTGGCCCCACCTGGGAGGGAAAAATTGGGAAAAAAAGGGCGAAAATTGGGTGAAAAATGAGAAAATTGGGGGTTTTGATGGCAGAAAGGGGCGTGGTTTGTGGTTATGGGGGCGTGGCCTAAGTGGGTGTGGTCAGAAAGGGGCGTGGTCCCTTTTGGGACAGAAAAAACCAAAAAAATTGAGCGAAAATCGGGTGAAAAATGAGAAAATTGGGTGGGAAATTGGGTGTTTTGATGGCAAAAAGGGGCGTGGTTTGGGATTTATGGGCGTGGCTTAAGGGGGGTGTGGTCGGGGAAGGGGCGTGGTCCCACCTGGGAGGGAAAAATGAAAAAAAAAAGGGCGAAAATTGGGTGAAAAATGGGAAAATTGGGTGTTTTGATGGCAAAAAGGGGCGTGGTTTTGGATTTAGGGGCGTGGCCTAAGTGGGTGTGGTCGGGGAGGGGCGTGGTCCCTTTTGGGATAGAAAAACCAAAAAAATTGGGTGAAAATCGGGTGAAAAATGGGAAAATTTGTGGTTTTCTATGGCAGGAATGGGTGTGGCCTAAGTGGGTGTGGTCAGGAAGGGGCGTGGCCTAAGTGGGTGTGGTAGGGAAGGGGCGTGGCCCCACCTGGGAGGGAAAAAACCAAAAAAATTTGGGTGAAAATCGGGTGAAAAATGAGAAAATGGGGGGTTTTGATGGCAAAAAGGGGCGTGGTTTGGGATTTGTGGGCGTGGCCTAAGTGGGTGTGGTCGGGAAGGGGCGTGGCCTCACCTGGGGCAGAAAAAACCAAAAAAATTGGGTGAAAATCGGGTGAAAAATGGGAAAATTGGGTGGAAAATTGGGTGTTTTGATGGGAAAAAGGGGCGTGGTTTGGGTTATGGGGGAGTGGTTTAAGGGGGTGTGGTCGGGAAGGGGCGTGGTCCCGTTTGGGGCAGAAAAAAGAAAAAAAATTGGGTGAAAATCGGGTGAAAAATGGGAAAATT